TCCAGAGGGGATGTGCTGCCAGCCATAGGCTGAAGGCTGAAGGCTCCTGCAGCAGGGTCTGCTGTCTAAACCATGTAGTATCAAGAGCCATCAAGATCAAGTGTTGTCCCAGGGTCATTTCCAGAGCCCTTTGCCCAGTAGGTTCTAGAGCACCAGCCCTCTGCAAGAAGGGAAACTGAGGCACAGAGAGGCCACCTCTCTGGTGTCTGGAAGCATGTGCCATGGTGGCACTGCACCCCACCTTGGCTGCCCGCAGTGCTGGCTGCCCCCTCARCCCTGGCCTGATGGACCCTCTGTCCAGGGTACAGTGCCCCTCTTTGGGGCTGGCAGTGAGCAGGGTTGCTCTGTGGAATCCTCACATCTGGTCTCCCTCCCTGCACCCCGTAGACAAGCGCACTGACAAGTCAGCAGTGTCGGGAGCCATCCGGCTGCACATCAGCGTGGAGATCAAGGGTGAGGAGAAGGTGGCTCCCTACCACGTTCAGTACACCTGCCTGCACGAGGTGAGCAGCCCAAGCAGGCACGGGGGGCACAGCCCCCTCCCCAGCGGTGCCACCGTGCCACCACTGGCCTTGGGGAGCTGACAGGACTCATCTGTACCTCCAGAACCTGTTCCACTTTGTGACGGATTTGCAAAACAATGGGGTAGTGAAGATCCCTGATGCCAAGGGGGATGATGCCTGGAAGGTGTACTTTGATGAGACAGCACAGGAGATCGTAGACGAGTTTGCCATGCGCTATGGGGTGGAATCCATCTACCAGGCCATGACGTGAGTTCCCTGCCCCCCACCTGGCTCAGAGGGGCTGCCTCAGCTCTTGTTTGGGGGAGCTCTGACCCCATCATCCTTCCCTGATGCCATTGGCACCAACCTCCCTGCCATGGGTACAGACCTGGCCAAGACTGTGCACCCATCCCTCCTCTTCCCAATGCACTCTGGCACAGCCTCATATCAAGTCTTTTGTCCCGTTTGGGCACCACAAGATCAGAAGGATCTAAAGCTGTTGGAGAGTGGCCAAAGGAGGGACACGGAGCTGGAGAAGGGTCTGAGGAGCGGCTCAGGGCTCTTGGCTTGTTCAGCTGGAGCAGAGGAGACTGAGGGGAGACTCCTCAGGGGCTGCAGCTCCTCCCGAGGGGAGGTGGAGGGGCAGGGGCTGAGCTCTGCTCTGGGACAGGGCCAGGAGCCCAGGGAACGGCTGGAGCTGTGTCAAGGCTTGGGATGGATCTCAGGGAAAGGTTCTTGTGTCCCCAGAGGGTGCTGGCACTGCCCAGGCTCCCCAGGGAATGGTCCTGGCCCCGAGCTGCCAGAGCTGCAGGAGCGTTTGGACAGCGCTGCCAGGGATGAACAGGGTGGGGTTGTTGGGGGGTCTGGGCAGGGCAAGGGGTTGGAATGATTCTTGTAGGTTCTTTTCAACTTAGGATGTTCTGGGATTCAGTAATTCATGCACCCCAAACCCTCATCCCTTCCCATGCCCTGTGCCCTCACCTCTCCSCTCTCTCTGTAGGCATTTTGCCTGCCTCTCCTCCAAGTACATGTGCCCCGGGGTGCCGGCCGTGATGAGCACCCTGCTGGCCAACATCAACGCCTACTACGCCCACACCACCTCCTCTTCCAACGCCAATGCCTCCGACCGCTTTGCTGCCTCCAATTTCGGGGTCAGTCCCATGGTAAGTAAAGGCTCTTTCTTTTTTCTCTTGTTATTTTGGGAGGGGGTGGGGGGCACTGGGAGCAAAACGAGCAGTGCAAAACACCCCACTTCAAACTGCAGCCAGGCAGCAGTGGGGTCAGCCACTGCTTGCCCTGAAAATCATCCCACTCTTGGTTTTCAGGAAGGAAGAGAACCACCAACTTCCAAATTGGCTCCCCTAATTACAATGGGAGCCTGAACAAGCTGGGATGCTGGGTGGCAGCATGGCAGGAGCGGGGGGACACTTTGGTGGCAGAATCAGAAGCAGTGGCCAGGAACCACCGCTGCAGTTTGTGGGGAGTTTTGCACAGCCACGTGTACTTTTGGGACCCCAGACCTGCTGCAAACTCAGCTGGTTTCGCCAACACCCACTGGGTGCCGAGTGGGGCGAGTTGGTGGCAGGGCTGGGTGCCCCTCGGGGACATGGGCAAGGAGGGGCTGAGCCCTCGTCTTGGCTCCCCCCGTGCCATCCCAGAGATGGGAAATGGTTGCTCTGGGTGCAGAGCCAGAGTCAGTGCCCAGCCCCGGGTGCAGCAAGGTGTGGGTAGCCAGGGACRCAGCCAGGACCCAGCGCAGCTTTGGCTCACCTCCACGTTCCCCTTGCAGGGGGCAGCTAGAGCCCAGCGAGCTGTGCCTCCGGATCACATAGCAGGAGGAAACCTACCGAAAACCCGCCTTTTCTCTGACATGGAGGATTTTAAAAACTTGTCTCTTTCTCTTTTTTAGAGAGCCTAAGGCTGGGTCCTAAAGTGGCCRGCCGTGTCGCGTTAGCCCTGAGTAGCCGTCGTGTCCAGTGTTAGTGCTGCAGCCGATCCTTGGGTGTCGGGGACGCACGGTCCGGCCCAGGGCCCGGCTGGGCCATCAGCCATCATGGCGAGTGCCGAAGGTTTGCGGTGGCCAGCGCAGGCTGCGGGCGTGGCTGAGCCGTGGACTCACTGCCCCATCCCACCCCCGTGTCCTCATCCCAGGACTCGGACGCTGCTCCGCGGGTCAGCCCTGACCCGTACAGCCGGTGCTGAGGGGGCAGCCCAGGGCTCTCATGGGAGGCCCACAGGGCTGTCCAAAGCCTCTCCACCAGCAGGAACGCAAAGGGAGATGTTCCCCAACAATGTTTGGGAAGRAAGTTTTCCCTGTGAGGGAGAGAGGCCTGAGGGTGCTCAGAGCAGCTGTGGCTGCCTCATCCTTGAAAGTGTTCGAGGCCAGGCTGGACAGGGCTTAGGGCAACCTGGGCTAGTGGAAGGTGTCCCTGCCCATGGTAGGGGGTGGAACAAAGTGGTCCTTAATGTCCCTCCCCACCCAAAGCCATCTGGGATTCTATGATCAGTTGTTTTGTCATCAGCTCTGACCCCYGATCCAAGCCGCAGCCCTGGATGGGATTGGCATCCTCCCACTCTGTGCTCCCTGGGTGGGAGCTGGGCTGAGCTGGACTGAAGCTTCTCAGCCCCAAAAGGATCTCCCCGCCCGGGTGTTCCCTGTCCATCTCCCACAATGCAGCCCAGTGGGACTAGGGAGGAGTCCGTGGAAATGTCCAGCTCTTGGACCACCCTGAAGATGGACAACCACTGCACGCCCTTTCCCTGCCCTTTTTCCATKGAAAGCCTTGATCCTGGGGCTACAGATCCTATTCCCCCTCTCCCARTTCCTGCCCTGAGCCCAGCCTTGGAGGTGTTGCAGTGGGCAGGGCAGACAGAGAGGCCTGTTTCAGCCTCCCAGCAATGACAGGGGACACATGGTRTCACTTGTCCATCCTGAACCACACTTGGCACTGCCACATGTGCCCCAGGAGCTGCTGAGGGCCTCGAGTGAGCCCCAGCCACCAGCAAGGACATCTCTGCAGACATTGCCTGCCTCTGCAGGGCTCTGATGGGGGAAGAAGGGAAGGAAGGACAGTAGGAAGCAGGAGTAGGACAGCAGGAAGGAGAGGGATGAGCAAGGGCTGGGCTGGCAGCAGACAGAGCCAGGGGCAGGGGATGGGGGCGGGTCCCTGTCACCATTCCCCTGCTCACCTGTCCCTGGGGCGTCTCTCCGCAGAAAGATCGCTTTGTCAAACTCCTGGACCAGCTGCACAACTCCCTGCGCATCGACCTCTCCATGTACCGGGTAAGTTGCCCACCCTGCCTCAGCTTCCCCTGAGCTGGGTACGTGGCTGTTTCCTCAACCCCATTCACCCCATGAGGCTTTTGTGGACAACTCCCCTCTTTCCTTCCCAGAACAACTTCCCTGCCAGCAGCCCTGAACGGCTGCAGGATCTCAAGTCCACGGTGGATTTGCTGACCAGCATCACCTTCTTTAGGATGAAGGTAATGCTGGGACCCCCCTCACCCTGTCCCTCAGGGGACCTTTCTTTAGCTCCAGTTATTTGGGGGTTGGGTATCTGTTCCAAACACCACCCCACCCCTGCCCACCAGGTCCAGGAGCTGCAGAGCCCCCCACGAGCCAGCCAGGTGGTGAAGGACTGTGTGAAGGCCTGTCTCAACTCCACCTACGAGTACATCTTCAACAACTGCCACGAGCTCTACAGCCGCGAGTACCAGACAGACCCGGTGCGTGGGGCGGCGGGGACGCCGGGCACTGACCTCCCTATCCCTGCCCTCTCTCCATCCCTGTCCTTCTCCCCATCCCTGCTCTTCTCCCCATCCCTGCCCTTCTCCCCATCCCTGCCCTTCTCCCCATCCCTGCCCTTCTCCCCCATCCCTACCCTTCTCCCTCATCTGTGCTTTTCTCCTTTCCCTCCGGCTCCTGCTCCCTCTCCAGAGTGCTCAGTTCTGTCCAGAACAAGCCCCAAGCCTTGGGCAGAGTTTGAGCTGTGAGGCTGAGACAGGACAGACAAATGGGGATTTTGTGGGGCCYCCAGGGTGTTCCCTCCTGCTCCCTTATTAGTCCTGACACCAAACTCAGCCCTGCAATGGGGTGACCGGAATCTCTGCTCTGTCYCTGTCCCTCCAGACTAAGAAAGGCGAGGTGCCCCCCGAGGAGCAGGGCCCCAGCATCAAAAACYTGGATTTCTGGTCCAAGCTCATCACCCTGATTGTCTCCATTATTGAGGAAGACAGGAACTCCTACACGCCCTGCCTGAACCAGTGAGTAGGTGCAGGGGAAGGGGGTGCTGCTGTGCCCGCAGGGGGTGCCCACATGGAGGCAGTGGGAGCTGGAGACCTTTGGAAGTGCCTATAATATCCATTCCACAGCTGGGAAAGCTCAGGTTGCTGGGAGGTGTGTGAGGGAGGGCTCACAGTCCTGCTCCTAACCTCAAACTGTGCCAGGAGAGGTTCAGGTTGAACATCGGGAAGATTCTGTGGAAATGGTGGTCAGGCCTTGGCAGGGGCTGCCCAGGGAGGTGTCAGAGTCCCCATCCCTGGGATATCCAAGGAATGGCTGGATGTGGCACTCAGTGCTCTGAGCTGTGTGACAAGGTGGGGATCAGTCACAGGCTGGGCTTGGTGACACTGGAGGTCTTTTCCACCCTGAATGATTCTGTGATCCACACTCTCCCTCGCCCCAGGTTCCCCCAGGAGCTGAACGTGGGGAAGATCAGTGCAGAGGTGATGTGGAACCTCTTTGCTCAGGACATGAAGTACGCGATGGAGGGTGAGTCCCCGCTGCCACCCTGAGCTCAAACGGGAGCAGACAGGAGCCACCTTTGGCTCAAACCTCACCTGTTCCTTGGGCAAATCCATTTCATCTCCTCATCAACACCATGCCCAGCTTCAATGCCCCCCAGGAAGCACTTCCACCTTGATCCCATTACCCTGGAGCTGTTCTTTGGGAACCACTCCCCAGATTTGGGATTCAAAGTGACCCCACAACTTCTCCCCACGCAGAGCACGACAAGCATCGCCTGTGCAAGAGTGCAGACTACATGAACCTGCACTTCAAGGTGAARTGGCTGTACAATGAGTATGTCACCGAGCTGCCCTCCTTCAAGAGCCGCGTGCCCGAATATCCCGCGTGAGTGCAGCCTTGGGGCTAGATGGGGGGATGGCACTGCAGGGGCTGCTGGCCTCACCATGGTGGGTCTCTCTTCCAGCTGGTTTGAGCCCTTTGTCATCCAGTGGCTGGATGAGAATGAGGAGGTGTCTCGGGATTTCCTGCATGGAGCRCTGGAGCGGGACAAGAAGGATGGGGTATGAACAGGACTGGGGATGCAGTGTGGGGGGTGAGGGATTTGTCCCTTCATGCCCAGTGTGTCCTGCCTGGGGCCAAAATCTCCCCTCCAYCTCCTGCTGACACCTCCTCTCCCACAGTTCCAGCAGACCTCGGAGCATGCACTTTTCTCCTGCTCTGTGGTGGACGTTTTCTCCCAGCTCAACCAGAGCTTTGAGATCATCAAGAAGCTGGAGTGCCCTGACCCCCAGATCGTGGGGCACTACATGCGACGGTTTGCCAAGGTGGGCACCTGCCAGGCCAGGGGTCAGCACCACCCCTGGGACCCCAGTCCCTGCCCTGGCTGGAGCTCCTGGGCTCTGTGCCCCCTCCATCCAGCTGTGGACAGCCAATGTGCCACCAACACACCCTGGGACACTCCCAGCTCTGCTAGCACAGCAGATTATTAATTAGTTATGAGCTAATTTATGAGTTATTTGCTTAATTAATATAAATTAATCAAAACTGGCTTRCTGCAATGTAGGAGGGAGTTGCATGCATGACGACTGCAACTTCCTTCCCAGCGGTGCTGGTGGTGGAGCTGCCCATGGAGACCAAATGTGGCTCATGTGGCTTCTGATGCATGAGCATGGGCCAGGTGTGCCCAGGTGGRCAAGGAGGCCAATGGCACCTGGCTGCACCAGCAATGGTGTGGCCAGCAGGAGAAGGGCAGTGCCTGTTCCCCTGTACTGGGCACTGCTGGGGCCCCACCTCGAATCCTGGGGTTGATTTTGGGCCTCTCACAACGTTGAGSATCTGGAACGTTTCCAGAGAAGGGAACAGAGCTGGGGAAGGGTCTGGAGTACCAGGAGCAACTGRGGGAGCTGGAGGGGCTCAGCCTGGAGAAAAGGGGGGTCAGGTCTGCACAACTCCCAGACAGGAGGGGGCAGCCAGGGTGAGTCTGGGCTCTGGTCCCAGGGAACAGGGACAGGAGGAGAGGGAATGGGCTCAAGCTGAGCCAGGGGAGGTTTGAGTTAGATACTGGGAAAATGTCTTCACTGAAAGGTTTGTCCAGCCCTGGCACAGGCTGCCCAGGGCAGTGGTRGAGTCACCATCCCTGGAAGTGTTAAAAAACATGTGGATGTGGTATTTGAAGACATGGTTTAGTGGTGAGCATGGTGGTGGTGCTAAGTTGATGGCTGGACTTGAGCTTAAAAGGCTTTTCCACCCTTAACAATTCCATGATCCTATGATGTGTGGGGCCAGAGGGTCTGGGGGTCCTTGACATGAGTTTGTTTCATTGCTGTGGGGCTTATGGTTTCCTTCTCTCCCTCATTCCCCTTCGTTGCTGCTGTCTGGGTGTCCTCACTGCTGCCCTGCAGACCATCAGCAATGTGCTGCTCCAGTACGCTGAGATCATCTCCAAGGATTTTGCCTCCTACTGCTCTAAGGAGAAGGAGAAAGTGGTGATGTATCTCCCTTCTGCTGTCCCCACACGGTGACCCCAGCTGTCCCCTCAGCCCCAGGGTGTGTTGGTCCCTTCCTGATGGCAGTTCCTGACACTGCCAGGGTGGCTTCCATGCAAGGTGGGAGGGTCCTGGGGCTGTGGGCAGCTGTCCCAGCTGTATTTATTGGTGCTGACCCCACTCTCCATCCCACCCCTCCAGCCCTGCATCCTGATGAACAACATCCAGCAGCTCCGTGTCCAGCTTGAAAAGATGTTTGAAGCCATGGGTGGGAAGGATGTGAGTATGGGGGGGGGCTCCAGGAGGGAGTCCTGTGGGGGGCTGGGTCATTCCCTTTCCCAAAGAGGTGGTGCTCTCCCCAGTTCCCCAATGCTGGGAGCACACCCCAGTTCCTCACTCTYGTGTGGGATCACACTGTCCTACCCCCATGTGGGACTATCCAGGGGTGCATTTGGGGTGCAGAAACCTGCCTGAGGGCTGATTCAGGGATTCTGTCATCTTCTCCAACCTATCCTTCCTGCAGCTGGACACAGAAGCCAGTGATATCCTCAAGGAACTGCAAGTGAAACTCAACAAYGTCCTGGATGATCTGAGCCGAGTCTTTGCCACCAGGTACAGCTGGGTGAGAGGGCAGTGGCCACGGAGAGGTCTGGGGGTTTGGGAGCTGTGCCTGGGGATTCTGGRGGGATATGCTGAGCTGTCTGTGTGCTGTGGTCGCCAGTTTCCAGCCACACATTGAGGAGTGCGTGAAGCAGATGGGTGACATCCTGAGCCAGGTGAAGGGCACTGGCAATGTCCCCGCCAGCACCTGCAGCAGCGTTGCACAGGATGCTGACAATGTCCTGCAGCCCATCATGGACCTGCTAGACAGCAAGTGAGTGTGGGGGCAGCTGGAACCCCCACCCTGCCCCTCCTGGCCTCCTCAGAGAGCGTGAGGGACCTGCAGGGTCAGGGTGACAGGGCAGGGGTGACACATGGGGTCCTCCAGTGCTGTCTCYTGTGCACAGCCTGACGCTGTTCGCCAAGATCTGTGAGAAGACGGTGCTGAAGCGGGTGCTGAAGGAGCTCTGGAAACTGGTGATGAACACCATGGAGAAGACCATTGTCCTGCCCCCACTCACAGACCAGACGGTGAGTGATGGGGACAGGGCCCAGGCACCCTGAAACACAAGTGACTGACTGGAGCCAGGGTGGAACATCGCTGGCCAGGTGCCCTTGCTGGCACCTGAGAGGGTTGGGACTTCACTGATGTCTCCAGCTCCTGGCCAGGGAAAGGAAGGAAGAGAGAAAGGCTGTCCTTGCCCCAGCTGCCTAGTGCAGCCCAGCACCTTCCTGGTTGGCTGTTGCCACCTCCATTGTGGCATCAAGAGAGGACACTGGTCCCTTCTTATCCATCCTTCCCTCAGAGCATCCCGTGCCACACTCATTCACACTGGCTGTGGGCATGCTCCCTGTGCCAGGAGGTGAATCCATAGGCTCCTGGAGTGTGGGGACATGCTGCCTGTTGGCCTTGCTGAGGGGCTCGGGGGTTCCTGAGGATGGAGGGACATATTGCCCAGCAGGGCTGAGCTGTTCCTGGCTCCTGGGGGTTATAGGAAATGGTCCCTGTCTGAGGCTATGTATTGTTTGTCTGCCCCGCACACACACTTGAAGCTTCTGGGGTAGTTCCCTCAAAGGCAGGCAGGAAAGGGTGACACTGAGTGCTCTGAGCCAGCCTGTCCCTGTCACTATTTGGTGGCTTTTGTCACTGTTACAAAGCTGGGCTCAGGCTCTTCCTTGGAATTATGTCACCTTTCAGTGGCCGTGGTGCTYCTGTGCTGAGGGACAGCACAGTGGTGACATGTCAGCCCTCGGTGGTGCCACCTCAGTGCCCTGAGCCTGGCTTGAGKCAGCCCCACATTGCTCCTGACCAGAGCTAAAGGTGGCCAAACCTCGCAGGAATGCTGGTGCCCCTGAATCCCAGTCCCCATCCCAGTCCCTTCCCTGCCACGCTCCAGGGGCAGTGGGCTCTGTGCTGAGGGCAGAGCAGGGGGCACCGAAATGGATCGGTTGGGTAATTTTCCTGAGGGCAGACAATCCTTGGAGAAAGCCATGCTGGGACTGCTCCCTCGGGCAGGGGACATACTGCCCAGGTGTCCCTGGGTGCCAGCCCACCTGGTGGCTGGAGAGGTTGGCAGTTTGGGGGTACGGTCAGAGCCGGATGTTGAGTAGGGCCCCTGGAGCTGAGCATCCCTAGGGCAAAGCCTCCGTCACAGTCAGGAGGGACAGGGCAGGTGGGGACGGGGCCCCTCGGGGKCTGTGGAGGCCCAGGGTGCGGTGGCAGGGCAGTGACACTGAGTGCTGCTCGTGGGGGACACCCCTGGCCCCGGTGGGGGTGGGGGCAGCCAGGGCTGGCGCTGGGGAGGATGGAGGAGGCGGGGGCCGGCACTCACGTCACGGTTGTTCTCTCCAATTGCTCCTCTCGCCTCTCAATGGCAGATGATTGTAAGTACGGCAGCTCCCTGTCTGTCTGTCTGTCTGTCCGCTCTGTGTCGGTCCTGGCCTCGCCGGTTCTTGTCTTGTGTGGCTGCCCGTGCCCTGCCCACACCCTCCTTCGGCTCCTGGCCTGGTCCAGCTCCCGGTCCCCACCCGTGTGCTGCCCGCCCGGCACTGGCTCCTGGCCGGCACATGCCAGCGGCCCCTCCAGGATGGGGAGGGCGTTGAGGTCTCGCGCAGATTGGCGGTGCCGGGGTGTGGGGAGGGACAGGGGGAAGCGATGKGCGGGAGGGGACGGTGATGGCAGTGCCATGTCATCAGGGAATGCCCCACCAGGGCTCCGTGCCGAGGGGATGGAGAAACACCGCGGGAGGCACAAGCAGGGAGCGTTGCGTGCCTGGAGTCGGGGCTGCTCKTCCTTTCCCTCGTGCCTCAGTTTCCCCTCGAGGCCCTGGTTGGGGTCTGGCTGTGGTGGGGGTGAGGGCAGAGGCTTTCCCTGCCGTGAGGAGGAGAAGTCTCTCGGGGGGACACGGCGGTCCCTGGCCCGGGTGCTCGGTGGTAGGGCAGGCTGCTGGCAACGAGTCGTGAGGCTCCTTCCCCGGTCGGGATATGACCCCGGGAGCCTGGACTCCCGGTTCCCTTCTCGGCATCGCTGCTGGGTCCTTGCATGGCTTTGACTGAGCAGTTTCCTTCTGTCCTCTTCTGACCAGTCTGTGGCCATGGGTTTGTGTCCCTGGGGGCAAGGGAAGGGCGATTCCACCCCGCACCCAGTCCTGTCCCCAYCCCTGCTGTGACTCAGCCACCCGTGCAGGAAGAACGGAGGGGTGGGAGCCAGCAGGTGGGCGCTGSTACCAACCCCTGTGGGAACAAACACCCCCTGTGCTGTCCCCCAACACCTTTTGTGTCAAACAGCAACGTTTGGGGGGGCCCTGGGGGCAGCCCGGGGCTGAGCCTCCCCCAGGCCTCCTGGGGACCTCATGGGAGCCCCATGTCCCAGCCTTGCTGAGGCTGTGGGAAAGGGGGCAGTGTCAGCTCTGTGGTCACCCATCATCCTGTGCCAGGGCCAGAACCCTCCTGGCAGTCCTGCTTTGCCCTCCCTGTGCTGCTTGTTCCTCCTGAGGCTTCCTGGCCAGCTGACCCCCTGCTCTCCTTCCTGGTTCCAACATGCCCCAGTCCAGCCTGAGAGCSCAGTTTGGCCCCACCATGGCACCGCTGCCTCGTTTCACCCAGTTTCTCTTGCCTGGATCAGTGTGGGGTTGTTACTGGGTCAGTGTGGGGTTGTGACTGGGCCCAGCCCTGCACAGACCAGAGCTCTGCGTGCTGATCCCAAATCCCAGCTACCCTCTCCCTGTTCCCTCCCCAGCGCTGGGRGCACCTGCCAGAGCTGGAGCAGGATGTGTGGGGGCACCAGAGCCTGCCCACACACAGCTGGATCCTGTATTCCAGCCAGGATCATCCCTCATGGATTCAGCATCCCTGCATCCCAGTGAGGATCATCCCTGTAGGTTCAGCATCTCAGCCAGGATCATCCCTGTAGGTTCAGCATCCCTGCATCCCAGTGAGGATCATCCCTGTAAGTTCAGCATCCCAGCCAGGATCATCCCTGTAGGTTCAGAACCCCTGCATCTCACTGAGGATCATCCCTGTAGGTTCAGAATCCCTGCATCCCAGTGAGGATCATCCCTGTAGGTTCAGCACCCCTGCATCCCAGTGATGATCATCCCTCATGGATTCAGGAGCCCTGTATCCCAGCCAGGACCATCCCTCTAGGTTCAGCATTCCAGCCAGGATCATCCCTGTATGTTCAGCATCTCAGCCAGGATTATCCCTGTATGTTCAGTGTCCCAGCAGTTTCCCAGTGTGAGGACAAGTTCTCCAGCAGTGCAGCATCCTGCTTTCCAGCCGGGATCCAGCACCCTGATGACAGCAGGCCCTCACTGCGTGTCCCGGTGGGGACCAGTCCCCTGCTGGYTGTCCTTCAGGAGCTCGTGATGTCTCTGCCACCTGTGCCCCCGTGTCCTGTCCCATGCTGTCCCCCCCGCCCCACACTCAACCTCTGACATTGCTTCTACAGGGCAACCTCTTGAGAAAACATGGCAAGGGGACAGAGAAGGTAAATAGCTGTGGGCTCCGTGTGTGTCACCGCCCCGGGGCCACACCCGTGGCCTCACACCCGCCTGCTGTGGAGGTCCCGGCTTGTCCGTGCTTCCTCTGTCGTGCTGTCTGGATGTGCTGTTGCCTGCGTGGTGTTGTGGTGAGGTGTGCTGTGCTGTGTGCCGGGGACAGTCCCGGCTCTGTGTGTCCCTGGGGCAGGGAGCGTGGGCTCTCTGCTGTTCAGCCCCCGTGGGGGATGTGGGGTGTGATCCATCCCCGTGGGGTGTGACCCATCCCCATGGAGGGATGTGGGTGTGACCCATCCCCGTGGGGTGTGACCCTCCCCCTGGGGTGTGACCCATCCCCATGAAGAGATGTGGGGTGTGACCCTCCCTGTGGGGGGATGTGGGGTGTCACCCATCCCTGTGGGGAGTGTGGGGTGTCACCCCTCTCTGTGGGGTGTGACCCTCCCTGTGGGGGGATGTGGGGTGTCACCCATCCCTGTGGGGTGTCATCCATCCCCGTGGGGGATGTGGGGTGTCACCCATCTCCGTGGGGGATGTGGGGTGTCACCCTTCCCCACAGGGGACGCTGCCCCAGAGCCCTCAGCCCCAGCTGCCTGGCTGGACAGGGGATGAGACTCGCTGCATGGGAGACCCTCCACACGACCCCGTCCCCCTCTGGGGGCTCAGGAAGAGGGACCCCCCATGCTGGGTCTGGGGCTGGGGGCTGCTGAGATCCCCTGGATCTCCAAGCCTCCTACCCCTTCCTTGCTGAGCCCCAGCCCTGCCCCAAGGGCATTCTCCTGCACACGGGCTCTTGCCTTGCCTGTCTGGGGCTCCTCATCATGGGGTGATCCCTTCCTGGATCTTGGGAAGATCCCAGCAGTGATCCCTTCCTGGATCTTGGGAAGAGCCATGCCAGGATCCACCTGGGCAATGCCTGGGAGACGTTGGCTCCTGCTCAGTTCGCTGAGTGTTCTGGGTGAGCTGATTCCCTGTGACTTCCCGGCCCCAAATGGGGTGGGGAGTGAACCTGGCCCTCTTCAGAAGAGACCTGGCACACTCATCACAGCTTCAGCAGCACGCTACCAGGGCTGAGCCTTTGCAGCTGCGACCTGGTGCCAAACCAGTGGYACCAGCGGAGAGCTGGGCACAGCCACAGGAGAGCACAGGGCTGGAGCCCTCATGGCCAGGGGACATGGGGGGCCTGGAGCTGCGGCCACCAGTAACTGTCCCTTGCTGTTCTCTTCCAGAGCAGGGTGAAGCTGCCCAGTCACACTGAAGTAAGGACATGGCTCTTCTGCTCCCCACTTGGCACTGCTCTCTCCCCTTGCCTCCTCCCCATCCCTTGTCCCCTGCGCTCTGGGTTGACGGGTCCCAGCTCAGTGCAGTGTCCTGTYGTGCTCTGTTTTGGGGACACCAGTGTCCCCAGCTCCCAGCCTGTCCACTGCCTAGGGTAGATGGGAATGTTGAGGGTGGGATTGATGGGACAGAATCGAGTGGGTGGAGGGGTGGGCATGAAGGGTTGATAGGGGGGATATAAAATGAGGTCATGAAGAGGGCAGACCCCTGCAAAAGGTAATGGTTAGTGAGGGAAAAGCTGAGGCTTCTCTCTTGGGAAGGACTGGAGCTCCTGGTGCTGGACGAGGGAGGGTGGAAGAGGTCTCTGGGCTCCAGTTTACCCAGTTTGCACACTGGAGCAGTTGAGAAGGGGAGCTTGTGCTTAGCCCGGTGAGAGGTGCCAGCCCGGGGCACTGAGTGGGATCTGCCTGTCCATGGGGCTGCTGGAATGGCTCCACGGCTCCTGCTATGGCAGGGGCACAGGGCAGGTAGAGGCACCTGGGGCACTCACCTGGGGGGTTCCTGGGGGGTTCCTGGAGTGCCAAGGGGCTGAGAACCTCCCTGAGACCAGCCAGGGCTCTGTGTGACAGGCAGGTGCTTGGTGGCCGTGGTCACATCCTCCCTGTACCTGCTGTCCCCCGCACTCGCTGTCTGCTCCCGGCGTGTCCAATATCCGAGCGATCATCACTGTGCCAGGCCCTGCTGGATGCAGGGAGCACGGGGAGCAGGATGGGACCCTTGGGCCACGCTGCTTGTGCTGAGCAGAGCATGAGGTCCCTGAGGCCGGGGTGACGTCCTGTCTGCGGTCCCCACGCCGCCAGCCTCCACCTGTGCTGAGACGGGGGCTGCCGGCCCGGCTCCTGCGTCACCTTCCTGGCTGCGGTCCCCTGGAGCCTGGGGGAGCCCTGCAACTGCAGTGAGCTTCTGGCATGATGTGCCCAGCCTGCCCACGCCACCCCCAGCCCAGCTGCTCACCGGGGCCGTCCCTGTCTCTTTGCTCTCTGCAGGGCACACAGATGATTTTCAACGCGGCCAAGGAGCTGGGGCAGCTCTCCAAGCTGAAGGTGAGGGCTGGGGGGCTGGGCTGGGGGTCAGCGAGCTGAAGGTGAGGGTTGGGGGTCGGGGTTGCTGTCTGTTCTAGGGTGGATGCCAGGACCCCATCACTGCCCCCTTGCTGGCCTGGCTGGGTGGTGACAGCAGGGTCCCCGTCCTGTGCTGAGAGCAGGATTTGTGCCCCCCAGGACCACATGGTGCGTGAGGAAGCCAAGAGCCTGACCCCGAAGCAGTGTGCTGTGGTGGAGCTGGCACTGGACACCATCAAGGTGAGGGCACTCCGGGGGACTTGGGGTGTCCCCAGGGATGTCACCCTGAGGCTCAGACAAAGGGGGCACCAGGGGACATCCTGAGCATCCTGAGGCTTCTCCCCCTGCAGCAATACTTCCATGCCGGTGGCGTGGGGCTGAAAAAGACATTCCTGGAGAAGAGCCCTGACCTACAGTCGCTGCGCTATGCCCTGTCCCTCTACACCCAGGCCACTGACCTCCTCATCAAAACCTTCGTGCAGACCCAGTCATCACAGGGTAGGACACGCTGCTCTGGCCCCTGCCCTCCCCACGGGCCCCATGGCCAGGACCCACCTTGGCTCTGTCCCACTGGGGCTGGGGGTCCCAGCCAGGCTCAGGGTGGGGGACAGATGGGTGGGAAGGGTTTTTTCCTCCCATGGTCTGCAGGTGAAGAGGGGCCCTGGGTACCCAGCCACAGCCTGGCACTCCCCAGTCCCCCACCAGCAAGAGCAGTGGGCCCCCAGTGCCAGGGCACTGCTGGGCTGGCGTGGAAGTGGGGCCTGTGGGTGGGGGGAAGGTCACCCCCTGGCYAGATGTCACAGTGTTTGTCCCCTCTGGATGGTCTGAGTCACCCAGCACAGACCAATCACAGGGTCCACTGGGTCCAGGAGCTGTGCCACAGCCTGTCCTGGGCACCTCCCAGGATTGGCCTCGGGGATGCTGGGGTGCAGTGCAGGATTCTGAGCACCTTCAAGGGCAGGATCAGCCCTCAGCTCTAAATGCTACCCTTTATTGTGTCCCTTGAGATGCTCGGTGGTGGTCAGGGGCCACYGCAGGGTGCCCCAGCCAGGCTTGTCTGCGTCCTCTGCAAGTGGGACGTGCGTTCGCTGTCCGTGAGTCTCCTTCAAGGGACGTCTGTCCTGTCTGTGCCTCCTGTGCCAGCCGTGTCGGGGGCGTGGGGTTGGGTCTGGTGGGTGCCAGCACCCCTGGGTGTGCCCTGTCCCCAGGAGCTCAGAGCCGGGGGTGCCTGGCGCTCCTGTGTCGCTGCAGTGTTGTCTGGGTGCTTGGCCGTCAGTCTGTCTGCGAGATCTGATCTCTCTTTCTCTTTGTTTCCCCCCCTCCCTCGCTGTTCCTGTTCCCCACACACGTCATCTCCTCCCTCCTCTCTTCCTCATCTCTTCCCTCCTCCATTCTCTTCCATCTCCTCCGTCCTCTCTTCGTTGTCATCCCCTTCTTCTTCCATCCCCTTCCTCCTCCATCCCTTTCCTCCTCCATCCCCTTCCTCCTCTCTCTGTGTACTCCGTGCCCTGTCTCTGTCTCTCTCTCTCTCCTTCCCACTAGTTCATGGTGGGAAAGGGATTAGGTTTACCCTTAGTGAAGAGGTTTATCCTGACAAGGGTACGTGTGCTACTCGCCCACCCCTGCACCTGCCTGCTGCCGGCCTGGGCCAGTAACAGTCCCGGCATCGCGGGCCGGGGTGGCCTGGGGACCCCCAGAACGGGCAAACTGCCACTCCCAGGGCTGCTTTGGGGGGAATTTGGAGGAGCTGTGCTCAGCCACACTGACCACACCCCAGAGCGGGTTGGGGGCTGTCCCCACAGCACCCCACATTGTCCCCAGTGCTGCTGCCTGGGGGTGGGCACCTGCCATGACCTCCCCTTGGTACACAGGGCCCTAGGGGATGCCATGCCCCATGCTGTCCCCATCCTGCCCTCCCTGCTGCCCTAAGGACCATTACTGGCCCTGCTCCAGCGTGCTCCGTCTGCCTGTCCCGGGGTGCAGGGAATGAGCCCCCCAMGGGCCCCGCTTAGCCTCCATCACACCCTGCTGGGGGCCAGGGCTGCACCCACGCTTGGCCTTCCATGCCCAGACCCCCTCCTTGCCCGCCATCGCCTCCATCCTGGCTCAGCATGCAGGGGYGGGGGCTGGGGGACGGAGGGGAATTTGCCAGGCTCAGCCTGGCCTGGCACCCTCGGTGACACATGGGGACATGTTCTCCTGCTGGTATTCCCACCCTGGGAGCTCTCTGCTGAGCCCTGTCGGATCTCCGTGGTCCCATGAGACACACAGAGCCTGTCCCTCTGCCTTGTGCCCTGCCCTTCACCCATGGGTGCATGCACGGCTCTGGGGGGATATGGGGTGGCTGAGCTGTTGGTTGCAGGTCACCAACAGTTTGATGTGGTCCCTGGGGTGGAGGGGTGTGAGGGGGCAGGTCAGCCTCGAGACATGGGTAGCGCTGTGTCTGCCCTGGTCAGGCACCTCCTGCCCAGTGCTGTGCCTGTGGCACTGTCACCCACCCCTCTGTGGCCAGAGTAGGGGCAGGTGGGCAACTGTCCTGTGCCCCATCCTGGCCAGGCCCCTCAGCCCTGCCTGGGCAAGGCGGGGCTCACAGGAGTGGGATGGCAGAGCCAGCCTGGGGCTGGGGGTGTCCTGCCATGTCGATCACAGCTGCTGCACCCACTGCTGTACCCATGGCCCTTGGGGACACTGCCCACCCCTCTCCACCCCGCAGTGGGTGACCTGCCTCCTCCAGCGGGGTTGGTGATGGGCAGGGAATGGCAGGAGCACCAGTAAAACAGGCACTGACACCTCGTCCCTCTGCCACAGGGTCTGGCGTGGAGGACCCCGTGGGGGAGGTGTCCATCCACGTGGAGCTCTTGACCAACCCCAGTGGCGAGCACAAAGTCACCGTCAAAGGTGGGTTCTGCTGGCCGGGGTGCTGGGCTCGGGCTGGTGACACTGCCCTGTGAGCTTCACCTGTCCCCTCCTGGCAGTGGTGGCTGCAAATGACCTCAAGTGGCAGACATCGGGCATCTTCCGGCCCTTCATCGAGGTCAACATCATCGGGCCCCACCTCAGCGACAAGAAGAGGAAATTCGCCACCAAATCCAAGAACAACAGCTGGGCCCCCAAGTACAATGAGAGCTTCCAGTTGTGAGTGGCACCATGGGCTGGGGAYATGGGGACAGGCTGAGGGACGTGTCCTGGGGTCTGCCAGTGAGTTTGCTCATYCCCTACGGGATGTTTTAGGTATTTTCTCATCGATAAGAGCAGGGAGAGGGGAACAGGAGTAAAAAGGAAAAGGCTTTCTTAGGGGTGGGGCTGTTAGAGGGCTGGGGGAGGGCTGAGGTGTGACCCCCGCTATGCCAACACCGCCCGTCCCTTGCCCCCTCCAGCACGCTGGGGACAGAGACGGGCCCCGAGTGCTACGAGCTGCAGGTGTGCGTGAAGGATTACTGCTTTGCCCGGGAGGACCGCACGGTGGGCATCGCCGTGCTGCAGCTGCGCGACATCCTGCAGCGCCCCGGCGGCGCCTGCTGGCTGCCCCTGGGCCGCCGCATCCACATGGACGACACCGGGCTCACCGTGCTCCGCATCCTGTCCCAGCGCAACAACGACGACGTGGCCAAGGAGTTCGTCAAGCTCAAGTCGGACACGCGCTCGGCCGAGGAGGGCAGCAGTTAAAGCCCCTCGGTCCCCCCGCCCTCGCCCCCCGCTCCCGGCCCCCCGACAGCACCCTCCAGCCGTGTATAAGCCATAGGAGTGGCCGCAGAGGAGTCGCCGGCCCGGCCCTGGGGAGGGGGTGCTGTGGCTGCAGTGGCAGACCCTCCCTCCCTCCCTGGCCACGCTGGCTGGGTTACAGCGGTCCCGAGCACAGCCAGGCCCCCGCCCCACCCCGCAGGAAGGTGCTGGGGCCGGGGGGGCTGCAGGGAAGGGCTGGACCCGAGCCCGGCCCAGGGGAGCGACCGGCCCTTCCCCAGCCTGTCTGAGATAGAGGAACCCCAGTTGCCCATCCCCGAACCTCCGCTGTCCCACCCAGCCCCGCAGCTCACGAGTGACAGAGAAAAGGGCTGTGGAGGTGCGTGTATCTCATCCCACGTGCGGGTGTTGGTGAGTGGCTGGCACAGCGTGATGTCCCCTTGTCCCCATGCCTGGGTGGCGGTGTGCCCCGAGGGCAGGGCGGCTGCCAGCCCTGAGCACCTGTACATATGTAAATAGCTGTACATACAGGGCAGCTGGACAGGCCGTGTCCTGCACCCGGAAGGGCTATTGGGGCTGTTGGGTTGGCGGGTGCAGCCCCCACGTGCCCTGCACACGAGGTGCCCTGCACAGGGTCCCCTCCCTGGCTGGCAGCAGCATCACCGGGGTCGGGGGCAGCAGGGARCAGCCCCCAGCCCCTATCTCCTGTCTTCCCTGCCTTGCTGCCACTGTGGGTTGCCCCAGTGCCCCCCACAAGGTGCCAGGGGGAGGCGAGGGCTGGGGCCACCAGAGCAGAGGGATTCCTTCCTCCTTGTTCAGGCCGGTGGGACCGGCATCCCTGAGCAGTGCAGCCCATGGGATCTCCTTGGCACAAGCAGAGCCCTTCCCACCCCACTGCCAAGAACCCCTCCCTCCAGTCCCCCAGTAAGAACCAGTTCTGTGCCCCCAGTTCCCCAGTGAGCACCATTTCTGTGTGGTAAGTGGTGTGCATGTCTCGTGTGAGTGCCTGGGAGGCCGGGGTGTGCGGTGTTGGGGTGGCCACCCTGGCTGGCCCCTTTGCCCCGAGTCCTGGGGCAGCTAGAGGCCTCATGACCCCACAAGTCAATACAGCTCTCAGCCCCCATTCCATCCCAAAACAGGGTACCCCAGCTGGCCCCCACACTCTTTTTTCTAGAGGGTTTGCCTGGGACCAAAGGGTTTCACTTTCCTCTCTCGTTTCTGTTCAATGTTTACACCCTTTTTCTACCGGCTGCTCCTGCACGGCTGGGCTGGGGCTCGGCCCCAAACCCCAGCCGTGGTGCCCCTGGCCCCGTGCCCCCTCCCCAGACTGTCCTGTTTGGCATGTGATTGAACTGACCAATTCTGCTCCTGTAGCACAGTGTCACCGATGCCTGTGTGTCTGTCCCGCCGGCGGCGGCGGCTCCCATGGATGCATGACAGTGAGATGTTTTGCACTATTTTGAATTTTTTGGGCTCTGTAAAAATATTTTATTATAACTGACATTAAAAAGCACACCCTTCACTGCGGCTCCYGTGGGCTTCCCAGCTCCTCTTCCACCCCAGTGCAGCATTTCCACCTTTAAAGGAACAGCCWGGGATATCCAGCCCCAAGGAGAATCAGCTCCAGGGATAACCAGCTCCAAGGACCAGTAACCCAGGGATGATCACTGTTGCCACTCAACCTCCCCCGACAGTGCCTTTGCAAAGCCAAGGACAGGCTTAAATGGAACSACAGGAACACAAATCCTGGAACRTCCTGAGCTGGAAGTGACACACAGGGATCATCATTCCAACCCCTGTCCCGGCCCAGACACCCCAAMAWCCCCACCCTGTTCATCCCTGGCAGCGCTGTCCAAACGCTCCTGCAGCTCTGGCAGCCTCGGGGCCGGGACCATTCCCTGGGGAGCCTGGGCAGTGCCAGCACCCTCTGGGGACAGAAGAACCTTTCCCTGAGATCCATCCCAAGCCCTGACACAGCTCCAGCCGTTCCCTGGGCTCCTGGCCCTGTCCCAGAGCAGAGCTCAGCCCCTGCCCCTCCGCCTCCCCTCGGGAGGAGCTGAAGAGCTGGGAGAAAGCTGTCTGGGGAGGGACTGGGGTGAGGTGGGCAACTGGGGTGTCTCCAGCACCATGCTGATAATTGGCAGTCATGGGAGGGATCAGGGACAGCCAGCACGGCCGCACCAAGGGTAAACCCATCCCCTGTTGGTCATGTGAAATTCCATGCTTGGGTTACTCCATCAATGGACCAGGGATGAGCTGATATGGATGGGTTGGCATCCAGTGGATGGCACCTGCCTAGACTCTACATGAAACACCACACCAGTCCCTCAAACAATTCTTCCCACTAAATTGATGTGGGGCCTGATGACCTACAGAGAGAGCTGGGGCTTTTCCTGGCATCTGGCAGGACCCTTGAGAATTGTAGGGCTGTCCCCAGGCTGTGCTGCAATCATGGAATGGTTCAGGGTGGAAGGGACCAGTAAAGCTCATCAAGTCCCGCCTTGCCCTGTGCCCATGTGAAAAGAGAGCAGAGGTTCCCTGTCAGCCTAAGATGACAGAAGCTGTGCCCCTGCAGTGCATGGAGGTCCAGAAATTCACCTGCAGCCCCTGGAGGACCCTGCCCTGAGGAAGATCTGGCCCTCTGTGCTGGGCAGGCTCCTGGCAGCACTTGGGGCTGGAGCAGCTCCTGCAGAACCTCTGGGATCCATCCATGGTGGAGCTTCTTGGAGAGCTGAGCCCACACAGGAGCAGAGGAGGAGGAAGGAGCAGCAGCAATCAGGGGGGAGGAACTGACCACAACCTGCACTGCCCCTCCCCTGCACAGCTGTGGGGAGGAGGTGGACAACTGGAGAGGGAGGGTGAAAGGGAGAAGTGAGGACAAGGAGGTTTAAGATTTATTATTTCCCATTATCCTCATGGGAGTTCATTAACAACAATTTAAACTAATTCCCCCAAACTGAGGGGGTCAGGCTAAATCCCTGACTGTTCCTCCATGCAGTAACCTTTTGGAGTGAGGAATCGTGGCCTTGGGGGCCATGGCCACTGCATAAACCAGGGGGAGTTTAGAACAGAGTCCTGCCCCCCACTCCCAACCCCAAATGGCCCCTGGAAGCCATAAAAGGCACCAAGGTTTTGAGATCTGTACCTTGGAAGATCCAAAGGGCTCTGAAACAGAAATATGGGCACACAGACTCTCAGGCCCAGACWTCAAGGAGCTTCAAGATGAGAGGAAATGGCCAGGACAGATTTATAATGGTTATTAGGAAAATTTCTTCACTGAAAGCAGGGTCAGGCCTTGGAACAGGATGCCCAGGGCCAGAGTAGACTCACCATCCCAGGAAGCATTGAAACACTCCAGAGCTGGGGYACAGGAGGAGGGGGTTRAGTGGTGAACATGRGGTGAGAGGTGGGYTCRATGAGCTTAAAGGTCTTTTCCWGCCATKATTCTATGGACTAATTARGGCCTGAGGTATATACAAATCACTTATTTTAGAACAGGGTCTGCAGCAGCAGTGGCAGGTCACAGTTTGGATGCCAATATAGTTAAGAGTAAAAAAAAAGAGTTTTTAAAATATAACCATTTACMCATCAGCTGCCCCCTGTGAACAGGACAATACTCACAGTCCATCACCCTCTGAAACCCCTTTCAGTGAGTCCAAACAACGCTCTGAGGGAACCTGGTGGCCCTTTGGTCTGTGAGCTCTGGGGTGTGATGGTCGGCACTGGAAAAACTAAAGGGTGGCCTTTGGCAATGGGAGCAGCACCCTCGAGTGGGAAAATGGAGTCACTCCAGGCAGCAGGASTTGATGGAACCAAAATCAGTTCAGCCTGGAGGAGGCTCTAGGGACACCTTTTAGTGCCTCAAGGGCTCAAAGGAGCTGGAAAGGGACAGGACAGGGGGGAATGGCTTCCCCCTGCCAGAGGGCAGCATTGGGTGTAACTGGCTCATCTCCCCACCACCAAATCTCACGTCAGTCACAGAGTAGGAAATAATTGGATCCTCGACTTTTAATTCAGGTCCCTCTGAGCCCTGACTCTCATGACACCTCATCCTACTGCCTTATCCATGCACTCTCCATCCTGAGGAGGACCCCAAAGCCATTATAACTAAAGACCAGGACACAGCAATTTTATGGGATTAATTAGTCTACTCCTGGGATAGATCCTGTTTATGAGCAAAGGGGGAGGCTTGTCCTCAGGAGATATTGCAATTCTTCAGGTCTGAAGGGAGAATGCTGTGGGACAGTGTTTGACTGGAACTGTCAGRTAGGTCAGGGGGGAGTGGACAATGATTTACTCCTCAAGAGGAGCCCAACCATGATCAGCTGCACCAAACCTTTGGAGAAATGCTCCTGTTCCAGCTGCAGACATCTCACATTCCAGCACTCCTAACGCKCACAGGCTGAGGTGTCCTAAAGTCTGTGTGTCATCAGCTGAGCCAGGTCCTTCAAATAAATCCTCCCTGTCATCACAGGAACCAGGCAAGTCTGTTCCAAGCCTGCTGACCACCCTGACCCCTGCTGATCACCCCTTCTCTAGGGAGCAAAGAGCTCCTTCCCAYTTCCCTCCCACCCCCCTGCAAACARCCTMAGCAYCAAAGTTACCTGCAAAGACTTTTATTGACTTCAAAGGATTAAAAAAGTGGCCAAATCCCCCAGTGCAGGACTGTCAGGAGTCCTGCCTGTGCCACAAACAAGGCACCCAAATTTCAATAAATGAACAACTTCACAGAACTTTGCACTCCAAAGGTGCTGCCCCTCTACTCTCACAGCCTTCCGAAACTTCAGAGGGTTCAGACACCCCAAAACAGGTCCCTGGCAGTGGYGCAGGGGCAGCCCCAGGCTCAGAGGCGGCCAAGGAAGGCCAGGTTGAGGGTGTCAGGGATGTGGAGCTCATCCAGGTGCAGYGGGGAGGCAGTGAAGTGCAGCTGCACAGGGAAGATGTGGCTGGTGTCCACCAGGAGCTGGCCGGGTCCCTCCCTGTAGCGGTCCTGCAGCCGCCTCTGCGGGGACAAGGGGCACATCAGGACTGTCCCCCCGGGGTTGGGGGTCACACAGGGCAGCCCCCAGGCCCCACTCACCTCCACGCTGCTGATGAAGCCAGGGCTGACACGCTCCTCCAGCCCCACGGCCGGCGTGTACGCCCGCAGGATCTTCACCACCTGGGCGAGAAGGGAGGCAGGGAAGGGCTGRGCACACCCTGCCATTTCTGGGTGCAGCAGCCCCCGGGAGCCCCAGGATCAGGTGGGATGAAGCCCCAGCTCTCCCCGTACCTGCTGGGGTGTCAGCAGCGTGCAGAGGCTGCACAGAGCTCCAGCGTCCTCCTCTGTCACCTTCTTCACCTGCAGCAGCTGGGCAGCCTGCACYAGTGGCTCCAGCACCTCACAGGCACCGCTCTGCTGCAGCCCCTGTGCCCGCAGCCACTGCTCCAGCTGGCTGAGGTTGTACCTGGTGGGGACATGGCAACTTCGGCTACCCTGACTGACAGCAAACTCCCCAGTTTGGACTACTTTTTTTGGATGTGAGAGTTTTCTTGGACTCAGAATTTGCCTTTTCTCGCTGCTTTGCAATAGAGAAGCAATTTCCAGGCCTTCTGGGTATGTAAGTTCATTCTTGTCAATCAGGACTTTTTTCCTCTGGATATTTGAATTTCCTTGCAGGGGGATCATCAGCCACCTCCCACCATCCCCAGGGACACCCATCCTGCCTGGGACCCACCTGAGCTGGATGTCACCACCCCCAGGGACACCCATCCTGCCTGGGACCCACCTGAGCTGGATGTCACCAACCCCAGGGACACCCATCCCACCTGGGACCCACCTGAGCTGGATGTCACCACCCAGGGACACCCATCCCACCCGGGACCCACCTGAGCTGGATGTCACCACCCCCAGGGCCACCCATCCCACCTGGGACCCACCTGAGCTGGATGTCACCATCCCCAGGGACAGCCACCCTGCCCA